ATACACGTGTTATATTTAACAAAACAAGGAATTTATTTACAAGTTTACACATTGGAGTTTGTCAGTAGTTTGTTTCAGGAAGAGGAATCAAATATTTAAAGTTCGTAGTTTCGATGAATTGTCAAGAAGAGAAAATGTTCATAAATCATTAGACATAAAACAATGTTCCAAAATGTTTAAAACAAATTGAGAGAGTTCCTTTTTCACATAAAAGTTATACGGTTGTATTCAACATGAATGAAAAGATATATTTTAAGGTACTTAACTTTCTCTCTCTGTCTCTACCTCTCTGACTTGATTCAACTTTCTCTGCCTATTTATATCAAAAAATGATTTGACATACTTACTTTTTTCTCAGTTTGTAAGCCGCTCCCTTTTCTATTGGTCAAAATAAATTTTCACATAGGCTCGTTAAACTTTGACCTGGACTTTTCTTCAGCCCGGAGCCAATCCCTTTTTCTATTGGTCAAAATAAATTTTCGCGAATTTGAAAACAGTGAAGAAAAGAGAGTTATTTTTATTTCGTATTCACCACAGTGCCACTAGTTACTTCGCCAAAAAGTTGCCAAAAACTAATCGGATGATAATTCAAGGGATCAGAAGTTTTCATCAGAATTCTTAAAGACAGGAACTATAGGAGAAGGTTTTCAACAAGTCGGAAGGAAAGAATCTATATGAAATAAACGGAGACCCAAATTAATGAATTGCTTTTCCTTGGGTATCCATCATTTTCATGGCGAAAATTTGACACCTGTGTGAAAAAAAAGAAAGAAAGAATAAAAACCATGGAAAATGTATGAAACTTAAATTCATGGCCATTTTTCTACAAATCGAAAGCTGAAAAAATTGGGAGAATTCCTATAGTTATTTCTAGATTTTAAGGGAATATTTGCGTTTGAAAATGCTGTTTGCTTTGTACTGTGGATATTTGTGCCATATATTCTTGGTGTTGTTTTATCAGAAACGTTTGGTATAAAAGGACTGGTTCTCAATAGTATAAAATACCTTATATACTCGTGTAACGCCCGATCTCGCGTATCGTGCGACCCTGAAATTTTCACTTATAAAAAATAATTTTATCATGTATCTCGTATATCATACGAGTTCCTTTTTTAAGAGACCAAATTATAATAGACTAACCTCTTTTCATCTATCTCTTTATCCCATCTTCTCTAGTTAAATTAGTTAAAAAGTAAAAGAGAATGATAAAAGTATCGTTAGTAATGCTATACTCGTTGAGTAAACGCGTACAGCCATAAACGACCCAATGAAAAAACAGCTTGTATTTTATAATATAATATTAATGAATATTAGATGCATTATTATTGGATATAGTTAAGTAAAACATCAGTTTTATCAAAATCATATTTATTTTAAATACAGATGTATTTTTTGGCTACAGTAAATGGATATATAGTTTGGTCAACAGCGTAACCAGGGCCAGTAGTACATACGCTAATTTTATATCTCGTATATGATGCGACCACCTTAAAATTAGCTTCAAAATTAGGTATTCAAAATACGCGTGTATATACGGTAAATAATATATTTTTATTTGCTTTCGAGTGAGCCCTTTGGTATTCGGTGTCATAAAATGTTCAATTATAAGGCGGATATTGGTAGTGGTTTGGAGAAAGTCCGATAGTGGTAATTTTGAAGTCAGACCGTACTAGGTGTTGTAGCAATATCAGAAAAAGATCAGTGTCGATCTACTGTATTTTTCTCGGTCCTAAGCAGGGTAGAAATATGATTAGCAGATGAGCTCTGAACTACTTCTTCACGCCTCAGTCATTGCTGGTTTTTCCGGCGATCGCATCTCTTGTGGTCACTCTCGCCGTCCTTTCTTCTGTCTAGCTCAGAGATGTGAGCTTATATCGTTTTGACCAGGCTCCGAGACTCTAGCGCGAACCATGGTTTCGGATAACATTAAAAGTCTCTTTGTGTTAACTTTTTTTTGGTTAGCCAAAATTACTTTATTTTTTTTGGTGTTCCTTTCTTTTTTTTTTTATAACGGAAGTTATGCGTGGAACGTCACTGTTTTTTGGTAGTTTTCAGTCATAAATTAGCAGGCCCTTTTCTCGCAAAATTCCAGCGTTTTTCGGCCGGGTTACCTTCTCGTTAGTTAAGAGAGAGAGAGAGAGAGAGAGAGAGAGAGAGAGAGAGAGAGAGAGAGAGAGAGAGAGAGAGAGAGGACATAGTTTATTTTAATTATCGCGTGGTATTTATAGTGCTGGAGAGCGTTCCCTAGGAACAGTTTTGAAAATTAGAAGGAGGTAACCCGATAGTACATTAGCAAGAAAAGTATACATTTTAATTAGTACTTTTTTTAAACCAAGAGAGCTAATTCACCAATAGTCATATTGGTGGATGCGACAAGTTGTCTAAAGGACAATGAAAGATTTTCGAAGTTAATCCAATGGGAACTGGACACGTGTTAAGAAAGAAAAAAAGTACAAATTTTCTCATAAATAAAAAAAAATTGGTAGGTCCAAGAGCTTAATGTGTATTTTAGTAATAAGAGAAGCTATAAAAATGTATGCGAAACACACACACACACACACACACACACACTCTCTCTCTCTCTCTCTCTCTCAAAAAAAAAAAAAAAAAAAAAAAACAAAAAAAAATCTGTCTCCGCTATTTAGTGAAGACATTTCAAACCAATGAGTTGTTTGGATGATGACTTTTTTGACAGCTCTTACTTTTGAGTCGGAGTGTGCAGACACTATACAATATCTGGTACAGGGTAATAAAAAAGTAAAGTATAAAACGGCTTCATAAAGAAATTCCTCCTCAAGATCATTTCCAACCAATCAAACGGACGGAATTTTGAGCCGGAGATAATTTTGAAAAGTAATCTACTGAACCAGACGGAACACTTTAAAAAGGGAAACTACTAATCAGTTATAACTATTCATGGCGATTCTGTTCGTCACTGAGTAGTCAGAGACAGATGTAAATCTGCAGGCCAAAGTAACCTTAGTAGCGAATTGAGAAAAGACGTCTTTTGGTTCTGAGATACACGTGACCTGCAAAGAAACCCGGGACAACATGAAAAAACTTAAAAACAGATAATTTTGAACATGTTCGTCTGAAATAAACCAACCAAACCAGGTTTCCTTAATACGAAGATAACTCACTCTCTTCAATTATAATTCTACAAGGCAGTACCGACTTCTGAAATTTTCCACAAACAACAGTAATTCTGCAACTCCTTCCATTCAACAAACGTCTATATCTACTATTATATTGTCCTACCAATCCCCGAGCGGATCAACAAAATTTGACAACTCTGCATCCTTTCTTCAGAGGACCACCTCTCTACCAAGTATCTATATAGCAATTTACTAAGCGCAAAATTGATGTGGCACAAGCGCGAAAGTATGGAGGATCGAACTCGCTACTCAGTTGTAATTGATCTAACGAGACACTATTACTAACAGTTGCATCGCATATTAAAAATCCGAACGTTCGAATTCTAAACAATAATAAAATAAAAATAAAAGACACGTGAGTATGCCTGTTAAATATATCAATTGTATTTGCGAAGATTCACTGACCGTCCGAGCTCTTGTTGTTGGAGAGGATTCGGTTGAAGTCGCCAACAAATATTTATTTCAGTACGTACTGGGGAGAACGAGAACGCTATGTAGCCACGTCTTCTCTTGTGTTTGAACGGCTTGGAGATAATCGCATTTCTGCTACTGAAAATTCAAATCTGTGGAGTTTTATAAAGCATTTTCCCGAAAGTAGGTTCGAGAAAATTAATGTTTTAGTTTTCTCTGATTGGTCAAATATTTCACATAGTGATGTTAATTTCTAACTAGCAGACACTTTGATTTAAATTGTGAAATCTTTTTGGCATGTTTGCAATATTGTCTGTTATTGGGTAGAAAATACAGTTTAGGCGTGTTTTAATATGGAATGGATGTGGGTATGTAATAGAGTTGGAAATAGGATTTATTTCCTATGAATTTCTTTAGAAAGGAATATTCTACGCACCCCTTACACCCATCTCCCTTTCCACATAAAAATATTATAAAAAAAAATGGCTGATGATTGATTTGCTGTCAATTTTGCCGATTCAAAAATAAACAAGATTTTTAACGATAATTTTGGACGTGCTAAAAATTATTAAAAATGTAAAAAAATTATTCAAAAAATACTTTTATCTTTCCTCTTGATAATAACGTAAACATTTCGACGATAAAAAATACTTTCATCAAGTTTAAGGACTTTTTTAGTCATGCTATGCCATTTTTTTATGGATCTCATGAACAATTGTAAACAAAGAATTTTTTCTGTTTCAATTTCGCACCTGGTAAGAATCCTTTTTTGTGTGCGCTTCCTTAAAGAGTTGTTAATTAATATTTTTTGTAGATGGAAAAAATCCCATAAAAATTTCGTAAAAAAATATTAAATTGTATTTTTCTAGCTGTGTTTTGTATTAGGATGTCAAGGATTAGTTATAATTATGAATAAAGAATTATTTTTTGAATATGTTCTGAAAGTTTCATTTAAATGGAAATCCGACAATTATTTGATTTTTGCAATAATTTCCAAATTAATGTGTTTTTCAACTGAAAAAAGCGCTAAAAAAATAATGCTAAATATTACGCGACTGCTGATGTAAAAAAAACAAAACAAAAATAAAGCAAAAAAAACAAGATTTTCAACCAAAATTTCAAACATGTTAGAAAGGAATAAAAAAATAAAAAAAATAATTAAAAATATACTTTGGCATTTCCTCTTAACTTTAACTTTTTCATGATAAAACTTTGTTTTTATTAAGTTTGGGGCCTTTTTTTCCTTTTTTGCAAATTATCGAACATACTTACATTATAATTACGTATCAGGTGCAAGTCGAGATAAATTAGAACGAAATTTCACTTTTCAGATTATTGCGCTAATGTTTATCCTTACTATAAGAAGGCGAATCACTTGACTGAATTTAATGCGTACTACGCATGCGCCATATTCAGAACTAGAGAACCTTCGAAATGGCGTCCCTTCTGCGATTGTCGTCCGGTCTGGCGCAAAAGCTCTTTGGGAATCAGTTGGTAAGAAGAATTGGTATCAGCTTTTAAGTCATGTATTTCTTGGGGTGGATCGCTTTTTAGGTTTACTGCTTGATTTATATTTTTTTTTTCGTGTTAAAAATGATCTGAATGCATAGTTTTTTTATTTTTTTCTGGCATTAACTTTTTTTTTTTTTTTTTTTAGTTTTTACTTCTCAAAAAAGTAAAAGTTGATTTTGGTTATTAAGATTTTTAAAACTAGAATTAGTTAATTTTTGGCGCATTGGGCATATATTTGATCTTAAATATAAGTTGAATTTTTTCTTCTTTATGTTGAATTTAAATAAAACGAAACGTTTTATTTTTCTGTTTTGAGTTCTGTTTTGTTGACCTTCAACAAGAAACTTGATTTGCTTCATAAAGAAGTTTTTAAAAAAACTAAAAGTAAAACTTAGAAATTTTGCAGACCAAGATAAAAACATTTTGAAAACGGTGAGAAAATTGTTTAATTTAAAATAATCAAAAATTGTTTTTCTTAGCAAGAAGAAAGATCAGAAACATTTTTTTTTATCGAAACTTTCTTTGGATAAACTTTAAAAAAACAAAACAAATAGAAAATGGTCGAGAGATGTTTTGTTACATAACAGCAGGATAACAGAAGGTCGTCAAAAAACGAAAAAAACAAAACATTCCAATTAAAAAAAAAAAATAGCCTACCAAAAATCAATTATTGAAATTATGAAGGTTTTTGGTACATATTTGTAAAAAAATTATTTATTTTTTAGAATTATTTCATAATTTCTTTTAAATGTTTTTTCAATCTGGTATCAGGGGTTACATAAGAATCCAACTATGCTGAATAAATTTACCGATGTGATGAAAACAAACTGGAGTATTTTTAAGATATTGTTATTTTACCGTTACGTAAGAAGCTCTTTACAAACATGTACGGATGCCTGGTAGTGTTGTATTTCGTTTTAGTAGTAGTTATTCTTTTTTGTTGACCAGCAAGTTTTGACTAGTGTAAGAAATTATTATTGGCTTTCAGTGGAAAACATTCCATGGTAAATAATAAATAAATCATCCTAAAAATATTTTTTTTCATCTTCACACTAAATGACACACAACATGTTGCAGCGTAGTTGCAATTGTTAGTTATCCCCCGATTATATAAACATAGACCGATTTGGTGCTACTGTTACGTAACAAGCAAATCAAATCATTATTTTTATTTTGTAGCCTGACTTATCTATTTAATTTTGTTTAGTAATTTCATATTTGTAAAATTATATTTAAATACTCATATAAATAGCCCTATTCTGTCAGTAATTGCAGAAATATGCGAGAGTAATGCTAACTTATTCTTTAGTCCCGAATAAAAGGTTGGGATTATTGGAATAATCGGGGAGGGATAGGAAGAAATACTAAAATATAATATTAATAATCGAAGCTAGAATTGGAATATTTGGGGATTGGAAGAAAATTGACTAAAAATTGTTATTGATCATTATTCACTTACAATGTAAACGTTGTAAATGTAATGAATATGTCTAGTTTTTGACCAACAAACCAAAAGTAAAAACTGAGAGAATATTTCAGAAGACGTGTTATAGAATTATCTATATTGGAACTTTTTGTGAATAAGCAGAGGGTTAGAATAAGAAGAATATCTTGGGTGGAAACTGTTCATACAATTGACAGTGAGTGGGGTGTCAGTTCAGGACTTGAGGGTACTTGTCAACACTTATGGAATTTTCAGGAACACATTTAGTTTGATTTGTACTTCTAATTAACTGCTCATAAAGTAATAAGTTGTATTTTTTTTTTAATATGATGTTCACCTTGTACAAGACCCAAGGTGAGGTAAAAGGTTATAGTGTAAGAGGCACAGTTTATGAGGATATGTGGAGTTAACCCTAGACTTGAATGGGTTAAGATTCTATTGATTGGAGAAGCATCCTCTTGGGAGTCGGTTCTACAAAGTGGCAGTTTGTGGGAAGAATTTACTCAAGTGAAACATGCATCTCACTAACAGAATACGAAGGGAATAAGGGTGGTTTCTACAATGGGCATGACATGGTGGGTCTTAGCCATGAAGGTAGAACTGGTGGAACTAAGGAATGTAGTTTGTATAAATTCCATAGAAATAATGATAGAGCAGCAGGAGGTGTGATTTTTCACCTGTAAGCAAGGGGTTGTTAAAAAAAAATTCAATATTTTTAGTAAAGATCAATAAATCTTTTAATGACTTTTGTTAATTTATTAGTAAATAAATCAGCTTTAATTCTTAACTTTTAACAGCACTTAGATCCTTTTAACAGTTTTGATTTCAATGTGATATTGTCACTTGAATTAGTGATGAACAGGGAAATAAATCTGTTTCAATTTCTTGGATGAGTTATTTTAACTATTAACACTATTTGGATTGTTGTCCTCATCTTTATTATATTCATAACGTTTGCTCCGGCATTATTCAGATGATAAATGTTAGAATTTGAAACTGAACCCTTTATTTAGTTCACTGGAGTAGATTGTTACAGTTCCACATGCCATGCCTTTTCTGAGATTATCTCTGTTTCATTTATTTCCATTTAGTACCAACTCTCCAAGTTTTTGTTCACTTCTGTAGTGGCCAGGTATTGAACTCACAACTCTTTTGGGTTAGGTCACCAGATTACTTCAACCAATACCTTTATCCACTGGGCGATGTGTCCTTGGGGAGATCAGTGAATCCTTAAATTTCATTTACTCAGTGATGGCATGTGGCAGTACAACAATTTGCCCCAGTGGACTAAATAAAGGATTCAAAATTCCAACTTATATCACCTGAAGAAGGCTGGAGCATACAATGACCGAAATGTCGTGAATATGAGAATAAAGATGAGGACAACAGTCCGAACAATGTAAATAGTGTAAAGGAAATAAATATATGGAAAAATTTTTAAGATCTTTATTTGAAGAACTTTTATTTTCTCTCTAGACAATAACCAATGATAAAAATATTAAGACTAAAAAGAAGAATTTTGATAATGAAATTAACATGTTAAGAGTTTTGAGTATTTTTATCAGCATATGTTGTTGGCAAGTGTAGAGATGCTTATTGTTTTGAGTTGAAAATAGCAAATGAAAATTCTGGTATAATTCTGTTATGCAATGCATTGATTTATAAGACACAACATTGAAACTTAATGCCTATAATTTGCCAGATTAAATGTATATCATACTTTATGAAAAATCTGAGATTTTATAAACTGTGGTTGATATTAATAAAACTTAAGATTTAACTTTTTTCTTTGATTGAAAATTCATTGAATAAAGAAATTTAAATAAAAATTTAAAATGATTTTAAAATTCTACTCTTATATAATAAATTTAAATGTCAGTGTGTCACTCTTTTCAACTTTACTCCTAGAGGCTGTAGCCCAACATAGCATTTTGGAATCAGGCAGACTCCATGAGCAATTTTAAAACATTCTGGTATGGATATGGATCTGCAGTCCTGAAATTTTGGATTCCCAAGTTTTTAATTATTGTTATTGTTTTCCTTGATTTTTTTTTTTTTTGTGATTTTTAGTGACAAATTTTTTTTTTATAAATTGGAAATAAATTTGGGAATAATTAAAATTAATTGCAAAAGTCACCCACAAAATAAAAATAATTATTTGTACGGAAAGTAAGGGTCTATGTACATTGAATTGTCTTTAAATTAAGTAGCAGTAGAAGAATTATCATTGAACTTTTAAGAGTAAGCTTAAATATTAATGCAATACTTAAATGCAGGGATCAATTTTGAGTTCTTCTGTAGTTTATTGTTGCCTATCGCATCTACTCCTCACTACCTTTTGTGATGAAGACCCAATCAAGAGCCCTCCACAGGAGCTAGCTTAACTCCTGCCTGATAGGGTAGCTTTTAAGCTAGTTTAAAATAAGGTTTGCCTTAATTTTGGTCAAATAACTGATAAGAAATTTAAATAAATGCAGATGTAAATGAAAAACACATTTATTAGAATGGCAATTATAAGTAGTAAAACGACTAATAAAATGATGTGAAATTTAAAATTTCCTTCAGTGGCAATCAGTAAATTAGAACAGCTGACATTGGCTAAAATGAAGCCATCAAATTATTTTTTTATTTTGGCTTCTATTATATAACCTTAGGTAGTTGTTCTTCAGAGTGAAGTTAACAATATGAAGTCAAAAGTAATTGTTTTTTTTTTTTCCTTATATAAATAAATAAATATGAGAGAGGAGGAGTTATAATATTTTATAATGTATAAGACATCTCTTCCTTCTATTCACATTTAATATTCTTGTATTATTCAGTTAGGTACACGTATTGATAGTCTATGACATCTAGATAAACATTAACCCACCAGGAACTTCAACTTTGCATATAAAATGCAATCATATATTTTTTTAAGTGTTATTTTTGCAAAATGTGTGTGTGTGTGTGTGGGGGGGGGGGGGTTATGTGCTCTCAAAAATTGTAATATTTTAAGTACAATAGTTTTAAATATTTTCAACTGTGTAAATTATAAATTATAAGATGTGTCCTTTAAATTGCTATAATGAATGACCTGTTTCTACATGCTTTCTTGCAAACCTTTTTGTTTTCACTTAGCATTTATTAGTGTGAATAACTAATCACTTCATGCTACACTTGATGTGCTCTTTTGTCTTTGATCTCATAATATGTTGTATTATTTTTGTCGTTCATGAATATTTTCCATAGCTCTTTATGCTAATTCAAGTTATTTAGAGCAGATTTTATCTGTGCATGTTGTGTGTGTTTTTTTTTTTTTTTTTTTTTTTTTTAGCTGAAAAATAACTGCTGTATTTGATAGCAGATAAGGCCTCTCCCCATTTCAATAGAAACAAAAATAAGTTGTTAACTAATGTTACTGGAACTTAACCCATATTCTCTATTTGTTTCAATTGAAAACCAGTTTCTCTTTGTGTGTTTATTATATAGCAGTAGGGTTTATGACATTTACTTAATGTTCAAATACCCTTGTGAAAGGTATGAATCCACATCTTCTCCTCAGCTATAGAGTGAATAGCAGGAAAGACTGGGCCTTTTAGCCTTGGTTGGCAACCTATCTACTGCGGAAAACTCTTCTGCCTAGTCAGTCATGCATTGAATTAGACATGATCACCCATGCGTGTATCATGTATGGCACCTAACTGTTATGGAGTGGTAGACATCCGTTTGTCTCATGAGATAATTTTAGCACCCTGTTTAGACAAAATAAGTTAGTCCTCTCCAGGGCACAGGTATATAAAAACTGTAAGCTATAATTTGCCAGCACCCCCCCCTCCCCCAAGGATGAAAGGAATGCCAGTCATTACATCTGAGGCCAGCTTTGTTGGAAAGTTGATAGCCATTCGCCTTTGCAACTGGATTGTCTTTTGTTTCTTACAAATTCCTGAAAATTGTAATATTTGGAGTGGACATGTAGGACTTATAGGTTAAAAGATAAAATATTTTCTCTTTCATTTTTAAAAATAATTTTCATCTTTGTTTTATTTTTAAGATATAGACATTTGATTTATATGCATTTAAAGCTGTTGAATGTTCTTATTGGCCTATTGTCATTAAAATTAAGAACTTTTCTACATGAATTTGTCTTCAGTATTTGATAACTTCAAATATTTTTCCTTTTGACTGCTTTTTACAGGCAAAAATAACATGTCTTGGAACACAGCAAGACCAAAGCTTTCATTTCAGAATCCATGGCCGCAACACTGACGCTAAACATTCTGCATCTGCACAGGTTAGCTATTTATATCTCCATAAAGTCTCTTCTCTGTTTTTATGCATTTAACTTTTCCTTCTGATAATCATAACATTCAATCTGTACATTCTCACCATAGTAAATTGATTAGATTTATAACTTTTCATGAAAAAATGAGATGGTTGATTTATTCAACAAAAATAATTAACTTTGTTACATTACATTTGCATTAAAACTAATTTTTTATTAACGTTTATAAATCATTATTCTTGATTCTGACAATATGTAAATATTCTTATGTGGAAAAGTGTGGATCAACACGTTAACAGTTATCTTGCGGTAAGGTACCCTTAAATTTATTCTTATATGAAACCTTCAGGATTGACTCTCCAATATTAAGAGATTCTGAAGTATTATTATTGTAAATGTATTATTCTTGTTCATTGATATTTCATCAATTCTCTATATCTTTATTCTTATAGGCAATTATTTCTTAATTTAAGATCCTTTATTGCATTCATGATTTATTCACGTTTCTGGTGGCATTTGCCATCATCAGAAGATGTAAATGTTCGGACCTATATCAGTTGTGCTCTGACATCTGGAGAGTCTATGTGGACACAAGCTAGGTGACAGGAATTATTGGAATTGAAATGGGTGGGGATAGGTCCAAGTGTTTGGGCACATTTGACATCCGTTGATTCACAGTGTTATATGTGTACTGGGAATACCTGATGGAAAGCGTTACCACTCATGATGGAGAGTGCAATGGCTGATTTATGGATCATTTAATGATCGTAATGACCAGAGGTGACACTGGCTCAAATCACACCCATGTTCAATGCAGGAAGTACCAGGTGCATATCCTGCTGGTCAGTTTGGTGTTCTTTAGTTTCCAGTGGATTTGGGAACAAAAAGAAGCACCTAATGGATTGGGCACAGTACCTCACCTTTGCTTGTGTAGTCTCTAATTAAACCCTGAAAATTGGCAATATGTAGCTAGGTCTGATGAGTTATGGTTCTACTTGTTTTTGGCTGGTAGACCCTGATTGTTAATGAGATATCATATAAGCTGGTGATGGTTCTGTGATGTTACGGGGGCACATTCATATAGTGAGAGCTACATTCACTTGTTTGCCTAATTTTTTCACTGCTTTGTGACCATTTGCACTCATTTGTGGACTTCACATGCCCCAACAATAATGGCTTATTACAGCAGGATAATTGGTTTGAGGAGCAAGCTTTCAATGAATGGTGTGATGACCACAATATTTATGGGATGTGGTGATGAAATATATTCACGCCCAAGATCCTGCACCTATAAATATCAGGGAGCTGGGGACAGCTGTTGAAATATCATGACTCAGCATCTCTCCAGAGGTCCTTTGACCACTTGTGAAATTGATGCCACATTGAGTTGCTGCACCTTATTGGTCTCGAAGGAGTTCTTAGAAAATACTCAGCATTTGCTCCCATGACTTTTGGTATGTCTGTGTCAGTTTAATCTGAAAGTATTTAAATTTAAAAATTTGTTTTTTCAACTGAACAGAAGTAAGATAAGACGTTTTGCAATGTCATCATGATGAAATGGTGAGCTTAAATGCTGATGATTATTTTGGGTAATGAGTTAGTTTATAGCTGTTGCATTTTCCTCTTCTTTTTTTTTTTTTTTTTCTTTCTAGATTTCACGGGACTATCCTGTCATTGATCACACCTATGATGCTGTTGTGGTGGGTGCTGGTGGCTCTGGTCTACGAGCAGCATTTGGCTTGGCCAATGAAGGTTTCAAAACTGCTTGTGTCACTAAATTATTTCCAACACGGTCACACACTGTTGCTGCCCAGGTAAAGTTTCTATACTTTATATATATATATATATATATATAGAGTCATGTCTGATTAAATAAATTGCAGACATTATGTCTGCTAATTTTTAACAAAATCTGTTCACAATCACGAATAACCTTGTGTGTATTGATGATAAAGGATGAGAGAAATGTGCTATAGCTGTTTAAGTTTCTTTTATTTTCATTTCCCAAGTACTTTAAATCTTCTTCCAAGATCTTCTTCAGATATATATATAAGTATTCTTAAATTCAATTCTTGCTGTTTTAATTTCATATTACATTTCAAATTTTAATCATAGGCACTTAAAAAAAATTGTTTAAATCTATTATTATTAATAATTATTTAGCTGATCAGTGATGCACTCCATGGCTGAGTCAATCTAGAGCATGTCAGATCTAATGGCAGTTTCTCTTGCAAAGGGAGACGCAGGTTTGAATCCTGCCAGAGAGCACATATCTTTCTTTGATAAGTTTACTTGAATATTCAGACGAGTAGATAAAAATAAATAAATAAATACAGTATTTAATAAATATACTGTTTAATAATAAAATTGTTTTTTATTTTGTTTTTTTTTTTCCGAGCAATTTGTTTCTAAGCATCTATACTCAAATCTGACTAAATGTTAAGCAACTCCACTGCTGATGCCAATGTGGATTAAGCAGATGAAGAAAACAAAGACAATAAAAGAAATAAAAACATAAAATTAAACAAGAATTCTACTACATTGAACTATCTTTTCTATTTATAAGACCCCAGTATAAACGGTCATTTTAGCAACTTGAGTCCTAATTCCTGCCCCCCAAATTAAACAACCATAATACTGATCAAAATCCAAAGTTACTTATAAAAATAAAATTGTGTACGTCACCAAGCTGTTGCACAGAGGCTTTTTTCCATTTTTCATTCTATATAAATGTTGCTTTTCATATTTCTCATTTTGATTCTCTTAGATTCTTGATGTTTTCTTAATTCAAATTCTGTTTCATTCCAATGTTAATAGGGAGGAATCAATGCAGCACTTGGAAACATGGAAGAAGATGATTGGCGCTACCATTTCTATGATACAGTGAAAGGATCTGATTGGCTTGGAGACCAGGACGCAATCAGCTACATGTGTGAAGAAGCCCCCAAAGCTGTTATTGAGGTGAGCCTGCTTAACCATTAGTAAAGATTGCTTTTTTTTCCTTTTTTCTTCTTCTTTCTTCTTCATTTTCTTCTTAAATCATTTCAGTGAAAGATAACATAAATGTAGGGAAAAACTATTTTTGTAAAGTTAATGTCTGTGTCCATTATTGAAATGCTAGATGGGTTTTATATGCCATCAAATAAGTTTTCAATTTTTCTTTGGGATATATTTAACTCTACTACAAATTATACTTTGATTATTTAGTCCCTACTTGATAAATGCTGCTGATTAACAGAATTTAGATTAAGGTTATTTAAAATTTAGTTTTTAGATATCTGAAAAGCATTAAAAACTATTTCCATTTCTAGCATATTTTTTTTTTATATAATATATTTAGTTTCACTCTGTCACGGAGTTTTTCAGTTACTTTTAACCTTGATTAAAAGCACAGGATGTTTCCAAAAATGTTTATCATTTCAGATGTAAATATCTGAGTAACTACATAGTCTAGGCAAATGAAACAGGCTTATTGTTGAGCAAAATAAAATTTCATTGAAATTTGAATGCAAAATTCAAAGTTATGTAGATTTCATGAACAATTTCGCAAGTTTTCTATATTTGCACTGGTTGTGACACCGCACGTCAAATCGGTTGTCCAGCTCCTGCCAGCATCTCTTGAGTAACAATCTCCAGTGTGGCTTTATTCTCTGAGTTCCTTGAGGCTTGTATCTTTTTAGTGAAATCTCATAAATGTATGCTGCACAGCCTTGTTTGACTGTGTTCGAGCATATCCTAACACAGGGGTCGGCAACCTATGACACACATGGCACGCCAAGCAATATCCAATGGCATACAGCCACAAATGACATCACAAAGTCCAAACCAATAACTACTACAATGCAAAGAATATATTTAGCTGTTTCAAAACTGCTCACTTGTTGGATTCCCATTAATAATAAAAACTTAAAAAAAAAAAACTTTTAAAAACTGTTTCTTTCTATTAATGTGGTTTACATGTTATTGTATATATTACTATATAAAATATATTGTAGAACAGGTATATTGACCTTGACTTTTATAAAAATAAGTATACTGTTGGCACATAGCAAAAGGTTGCTAACCCTTCCCTAACATACAAAACACCTTTTTTTTTCCAGTGAATGGCATTTCTATACCTGAAAAAAAAAAAAAAACATTAAACATAGAATTTTAAGTTGTTTGTACACATGCTGTTAAAATTTGAGATCATTTGAATGAGAATTGGTCAAATTAGATTATGAAATGATATCAATTTTTTTGAAACACCCTTTATAACCAAAGCTAACTTTATTTCCACAATAGTAATAAAACCTTTTTATAATATGTTTTTCATAGTTAACTAAGTTTAAAATTAAATTACTTAGAAATAAAGAGAAATTCTCTGTAATTTCTCTTTAATTAATGTAGACTTAAAATAATTATTCAAGACATTAACATCAAATTTTTCCATTCAATTAATGCAATAGTTCTCGTTATGTTTTTGACATAATTTCTGATTCATAGAAGTCCATAGCTTCATTATTCAATAATCAAAGTATTTTCTTTGTCACCTTTTGTTTAAATTCTTTACCATCATAAAAGAATTATTTGAAGTCATTGAATTCTTTGAAATTTCTCTTATATTTTGAAATTGCTGGGACTGTTGACTAGAGAGTATATTGTATGGAACTGAGCATCTGAAGGTGAAACAGGTCTAGAGAATCTGTTGCATGTAGAAGACCTTCCCATGCCAGCTCTATGCAGCTTCTTTGCTGCATCACATTTGCAAAAAGAGGAAGATGCTTGTTTGTCATGCAGCAAAATCACTGATTTATTTCCTTGATCATAAAACATCTTTTCTCTCCCAGTGCATGAAACAAACCAATTGGCTCATTGTAATAATTTTACAGTAACAGATTTGTCTACAAATTACAAGATTTGGCAAAATATAAATTCCCTTTGAATTCCAAAGTTTTTTTTTCCTTCTCAATAAATTTTATTTAAGTTGAGATATTGAAAGCTCTTCGGAATCTAGCAAGAATTTATTTTGGATTCTTATAAATTTTTCATTGTTAATAATTGTCTTGTTCAAAAATACCTTCATGTGTGCCAAATAAGAAAAAAGTGTTTAAACACTAAGGTTCCTTTCTGTAAATCCATGTGGAACACATTTTACTAGCTTCTGAATTTTTCCTAAGGATTGTAAACAAGACAACAATCAACTGATTGCACAAGCAATAAAGATGTGAGTAAACTTGAGGCACTTCTCAGATTTCCTTAACATTGTACAAAAGATGGAACTTACTCTTGTATGAAAACTAATATTAACTTTTGAAGATTTTTATACTCGTGTAAAGAAAATTAATAGGGACCCTTGCAGTCTTAATTACATATCAGTATTACTTTATTCAGTCAGTCTTGAAAAAGTTTCCTTTCTTTTGTAGCTAGAGAATTATGGGATGCCATTCAGTCGACTGGAGAATGGACGTATTTACCAGCGGGCATTTGGTGGCCAAAGTTTAAAATATGGCAAAGGAGGTCAGGCTCATCGTTGTTGCTGTGTGGCTGACCGTACAGGTCATTCCCTGTTGCACACTTTATATGGACGTGTAAGTTATTTATTGTCTACATAAGACACAAATAAACCAAGTTTTTGTTCAACCTTTTGAAGCATTTAGCTGAAATAACCTAGACACTTTACCAAAGTATGGGAATTTAAATTCACCTAAGTTCTTGCAACACTTATTTTTAATTTGACTTTGTGGAAAGTAAGAGCATACTTAAAAATTAACAGAGAAAACTGTTAGCTATATTTTGTTAGAATATTTTTCATAGTCCAAAGTACAACTCTGAAAATTTGGTTTATACTAAAAAGTTAAATCAAGAGTCTTTTTTTATTTTGTTTGAATTTTTGAGATGAGGAAGGATGATTATTATTATACATGGCTTTAAATGATTGGCTAATTTTTTTTTTCTTGTCAAAGGTTTTCAATATATTTAATGTCATTGTGCTTTATTTATTGTCTCCCTGATTCTTTGAGCAATAACTGTTAACAATGAACCAAAGAGATGGAAATCTGTATTGTTTGTCACTCCAGAGGTTGTCCCTGTTGAGGTGATCAACAACCTTCTTGTTGATTATAAGTTTCCTGGGGACAATAAGGAGACTGATGGGCTAATATTAGAGATGGGCATGAGTGCTAATCTACATTCTTGAAGATAAGGGACATACACTTGAAACTTTCCATAGACTTGAGAAGGATTTCTCCTTCAGGAAGCAGTTAGAAAAATATATGTACTTAGGTTTATTGAATGAGATAAGTGATATCAGAAAGACAAATTGATAAAATTAAATGATATGAGATTAGCTCTTCTAGCAGGGATAATCTACTTTTGTAGATTTGGATGGAGAGTTTGGTTTTTAAATTCTTGGAAGATTACACCTTACAGCCATATCATGTTGAAACACTGGAAGTTAAACAATGTTGAACCTGCTCAGTACCTAGGTGGATAACCATTTGGGAATAACTTTCGATATGTGAATAGTGTAAAAGATAATGACTCTGTATTGATAATCAGAGAGCTGAGTTCCAATTCCAGTCTGGTTCATTATATTCACTTGTCTGTAAATATCTTTGGGAAAGGTATGAATTCATCTCTTCTCATTCCAGGTATGGGTTAATTAGTAGGATCAGTAAATCATCTCCCCAAAAATTCTTACAATATAAAAATATTTTCTGGCTTTAAATAACCTGCAAAAGGTTAATAAGCTTTTAAAAGAAAAAGAAAAATTAATCTTGGAAGGTTACCAATTAAGACAGATATTTGAAGAAGGCCAGAATCTACAATGACTGAAATATGATAACCAGTAGGAATAAAGTAGTCTGAATAAATAAATGTCTAATAAAATCTTTTTTTTTCTCTTCCTTACATGTTCTATAATAATAATAACAGTTAAATACCTGATTGCTGGAGGCTTAAATTATTTATGTAGAAATATTTTGAGGTTTTCACTTTTTTGTTACTTGTCTCTCTAGTTTGTTATTTGGCAACCCAGATTATTTTATTTCTTCATTGATACTTGTTAGTGTCAAGAAGCAAATTTAATGTTTGATAGAAACTATTTTGAGTCCTCAGTCTTTATTACAAAACTTCTTTGAATATTTCATGTTCTTTGTTACAGTCATTAATGTATGAGACACAGTACTTCATTGAATACTTTGCTTTGGATCTTATAATGGAAGATGGGGAGTGCCGAGGTGTAATTGCCCTCTGCTTAGAAGATGGATCAATCCACAGAATTCGAGCTAAAAACACTGTCATTTCCACTGGGTATGTATGTATGTATGTATGTGTGTGTGTGTATGTGTGTGTGTGTGTGTGTATATGTATGTGTGTGTATATGTGTGTGTGTGTGTATATGTATGTGTGTGTGTGTATATGTATGTGTGTGTGTATGTATATGTATGTATGTGTGTGTGTATATGTATGTATGTATATTTAAATGGTGTGTCAAAAGGACAGTTTTTCCCTAGACACTGCAATTATTTTAACTACCTTCACTCCTTGGCAATGTTTATTCTTAAAAAGTGATTAGAATTGTAATAAAACCTAAACATATGAAAATGAATTTATACATTTTCTTGGTTCAGCCATTGCCGAGCAGTGAAGGAAGTTGAAATAATAGCAGTGTCAAGAGAAAACTGTTCTTTTGACATATAATTTCTTTTTCTTTTTTTTTTGTGACTCTGGCTATCAAAATGTTTGTGCTTCTGTGATACTATGAATAGGATACTCACTTAGAAAGAAATGGTGTATGATTTTATTTTAGTCGAGTATTTTGTGTTTTATGACCACAAATAAAGTCTATGAAATGGGATCTCCAAAAAGCAGTCACTTAATCAAAAGGATAAAATAATAAATGAAAACTTTTGAGAACAAGTGACAACAAACTGGATATTGAACACTTCCAGTTGTAGGCTCATATTAACAGACATGGTTGGGATTGAGTAGTGTCAGGCTGTCCTTTACTGGGTGCATGCTGTCTGCTGAGAGAGAGTTGCCAGCCGTGCATCATGATGCAAAGAGTTGTTAGCAAAAAGTCCGAGTTCTCGCTGGTTAAGCGGGAACACTAATCTGTTCGTCTGAGATGTCCAAAGTAGTTTCCCTGCCTACCTACTCACCCAGACCATACAAAGAATCCCTGAAATAAACAATGAAATATATTAAGAACAGGTTTTGAGTCACTATTTCTTGTATTTATTTTCAGCATTTGTCGCTTTATGGGCGTGCAATGGGTCTTTTTGCAGCTTTTTTATGCACCAACATGAATGAGAATACTCTCAATATAGGGTTTTAGTGTCCAGTTGGAGAAAAGCTGAGAGTGTCTCATTGTATGTTTACACTCCCATAGTAACCTGTAAATAGATAACAATTGGGATACTTGTTATGAACCAGTCCCATGATTTATAAAAATGTTCTTTGTTCTTTCTTCAGGGGTTATGGTCGTACCTATTTTTCCTGTACCTCTGCTCACACCTGCACAGGTGATGGTACAGCAATGATCAGCAGAGCTGGCCTTGGCAATGAAGACCTGGAATTTGTTCAATTCCATCCAACAGGTTAGTGAATAAGAAACAAAACAAAAAATCTGTCAAGATTTTTTTCTCATTTTCTCTTTGTCTTCTTTTCCTTCCTATTTTGCACTCAAATTTTTGTTTTTTTGATGGCTTCTTAGTTTTTGTAGAACGATTTGAATATGTAGAAATATCTAAGGATAGTTCATTTTGATTTTATTGTATAATCAAATCCAAATAAGTGACATTTTGCACACTTAAAAGCATTCAAGTCCGGAATTAGAAATGCAGACATTCCTTGTCTTATTCCCAGGTATCTATGGAGCTGGCTGTCTTATAACTGAAGGTTGCCGAGGAGAAGGAGGCTATCTTCTCAACTCTGAAGGTGAACGTTTTATGGAACGTTATGCTCCTAATGCAAAGGATTTGGCTTCTCGAGATGTTGTTTCCAGAGCCATGACTATTGAAATCAGAGAAGGCAGGTCAGTTAGATTTAAAAGTTTTCTCTAATAATACAGATTTCAATGGAATCTTATTTTAATATCAATTCATTTATTTTCACTAACTATATAAAAGTTGTGGTTGGATAGTTTTTGTGAAATGTACCTGTTGTTATATAGAAAGTAATCGGTTTGATATAATTATTTTTAACATCCTTATATGAATCCTTATCAAATATGAATTTTCTACTCACATTTTTTTAAAATCTTATTTCTCATGCAAATCTCGGTTTATCTTTTTTTTTTCTAGAGTTGGAAAATAGTTATATTGCTAAGTTTCTTTTGGCTAACTTAATTGTCTTTGGTGTAATCAAAAAGGTTTGCAGAAAAGCAATCTCCTAAAGGTGCAAGTTCAAATTTTACCACTATTCTTTATTTCCTTTGCTTTCATAATGATAAAAGCAAATGAAGACTAAAGAAATACTAGTCAAAAATGACTAATGGCTGACAATGCTTCATCCAATAATGAAATTCAAGATAATATTAATAATGAAAATAAAACGAGAAATTAAGATGAAAAAAATACTTGCAAAAAAATAATTGAGAATGCTTGATTTAATAATAAATTTTAAGATTATGTTTAAAACAAATAAAATTAAATTGAAAGAAATCATAAACCTTTTGAACTTTAGTTTTGCCAGCTGATTTTCAAATTCAATAAAGTAGATTTGAAAGCAATGCATTTGAACATGTCATGTGTTTAATGCCAAGAGCCTTGGAGAAACAATTAGAAAAAAAAGAAATAAAGTGTTACACTACATTAGAAACTGAAACCAATCAGCAAATCTATACTTTATTAAACATGTTCTTACATTCAAACATTTTGCTCAGATGAACATCAATCTTCTGTATGAATTTGAATAAAGGGGCAGCATCTTGTCATTGTACTTCTATTTTCTTCTAAAATCCTGACTTAATGGATGGTAATAGTTCCAGTCTTATCATGCTAGGATTTCTTGTTGACATACAAGCAATTCATTTTTGGTTTTGGATTTCCTGGAAATGACTTGATATGATTGATCATTAGTAAATAAGATGCAAAGTGCCATATCCTCATTGTGAAAAGATTATGAAAAATCTTATTACAAATCTGTTGCTGCTTGGCTTGCTAATAAACTGGGGCATTATCTCACACACACAATAATAATAATAATAATAATTTTCTTTCATGTCTGGTGGAACATTGATCAGTTGATATGCAAAAGTCTCTACCATTAGAAGCACATTTCTTAATAAGCACAAAGATGGACATCATTCTTGTGATGTGTATGTTAGCACCTTTTGAATTGGTTGCTTTCTTAACATTTAGCACTCTACATTATTTTATAAGTATTACTTCTCCTTTCACTATATATGGTGGCTCCTCAAATACAAACAGCAGTATACTTATCTCAATTTAAGTCAAGGGTATTTTTTTATTTTTATTTTTTATTTTTTTGGACTGTTGCTATAGCAGGATGTGACAACATAACTGAAATTTAAATATACTGTTATTTGTTAATTGGATTCAACTGCAATGGCAGGATAAATGCTTTCCCTTGTGACTTAAGTTGCCTAAAGAGTGTTTAAGTTTAACTGTTCAAGCACCTTTTCCAGAGAAATTCATGTATGTTCTGGAATCGATACTTTGTTGTTAAAATCTAACCTGCTTTGTGTTATGAGACACGTCATTCAAATATTTTTATTGACGTAAACACATCAGCATCATTGTTGGATGTTTCACTAATTTGTTGTTTCAGGTAATTTTGGTAGAGTCAAATATTTCCCCAAATCTTTTGGTTTGTTTTGTTGAGCAACATTTCATTCCATTTGCATGTCCTCCACATGTTTTGTGGGCTTGCAATACATGTTGTGCTGCCCTTTCAGTTCTCCTTAACATAAAGACCTCATTTTTATTTAATTATTTATTTTATTTTTTTTTTTTTAAGCAAGAAACTATGATCATAATGTCAAATGCCTTTTTAGTTTTTGCATTAAATCAAAACTGGAATTTAAACATGCTGCTTTGGTTATTGTGCCATTTCTGCACAGAGCCGAGTGAAGTAGCCTAGCCAAGCAAAAGAACATTATAATAGATTATTTTGCTTATCATATGAAACCATAAACCAATATATTACATAGGTGAATTTGAAATTTATTGATTTAAGGTAGTTTCATTTGAAATTTAGTTTGGCAATTTTGAAGTTGGAAAACTGTAGGCGGAAAAGTAGTTAGCTTGATGATGGACAAATTAAGACCTACTTTAATATGAATTTTTTTTTTCTTTCAAGTCATATTTTATTAGTATTAGACCAGCTTTGTTTTAGTAAATGTTTGGGGGATGAAATCAATATAAGTTCTTATAATTGACTACAGTAATTCTGTTGATGACTTGAAAATTACGGTTAATAAAAAATACCATTTTTCAAATTCATTATGAAATTTAATGCTAGCTTTCGTTTACACGTGAAGGCTAGTCGAATTACAGTCTGCTAGTTTAGGTTTTACTTTGAGAACGTGTGTATGTGTTAAAAAAAAAGAAATTAAAGTACAAATCTAAGGGAGGTAATTTGCTTAACAAATTAACGAGTTATTTATCTTGGTGATTTTTTTTTTTTTTTTAAAGGAATAATTGCTTAATACAATACTTCCCTATTGTTGACGACTAGATGTGCAGATTAACCGTAACCGAGCACCTAATTATTTAAGAACAATTGAATATAAATATTTCCTGTCATTATTGAGTTGATATCAAAAAATTGTTCATAATCAGAATATATAGTGAAATCATATTGTCACTTTAAATGTCATGCTTAATTTAATTTGTATATTTGGGTCTTTTCATATCTTCATTGATAAAGAGATTGATATTGCAGCCCCCAAGATCTTGAACTAATTTTGTAGTTTTGGTATAATCTTTATAAATCATAGCCTTTTTTTTTTTTTTTTTTTTGTTGTTCTTCTTCTTCACCAGGTGTATTTAAATTTGTCTTGTTGAAAAAGAAAATGGTCGTAACTAAAACCACTGTATTTTTTGTTTATTAGATGGCCTGAGTTTTTTATTGTCAATATATTGATTGTTCTGCTTTTGAATTTAATTATGGATAAGGGTTTATAAACTATATACAAATAAGTAATGCTTTCCTCTTATTCCTATAAACTTGTTTTGAAATATGCTGTTGGTTTGAAGAAATGATGGTATGGAATTTTGCTTGAAAACTAGCTGATACCTGGAAAAATATTTTGTACCAGTCTACATGTTATATATATAACTTGAAAGTTAAATTCAGCTTGTTTTGTTTTGCAGGGGTGTTGGGCCTGAAAAAGATCATGTCTATCTGCAGTTGTCACATCTGCCTGCAGATGTGCTCAAATCTCGTCTGCCTGGAATCTCCGAGACAGCTATGATTTTTGCTGGTGTGGATGTAACTCGGGAACCCATCCCCGTACTTCCTACTGTACATTACAACATGGGTGGTATACCTACTAACTACAAGGGACAAGTGAGTTGATAGTTTTTTCTTTCTGTTCACTGCTAAACAACTCTTTATAAAGACATGGATCATCTTGAATTTGCAGCAAAAACAAAATACATTAAGAGTTTAATATTTTGTATTTAATACGAATTAAAAATCTTGTATCTTAAAATATTGCTTGGTATATTGGCTGGATTTTAGGCCATCCTAATGGATTAAAATGATTTAAAAAAAAAAAACTGCAATGTTTTCTGATTAGATTTACTCCAGCTGTTAAGGAAAGAAGTTTATATAGAAACCTAAATTAGTGGAAAATTATGCTAACAAAAATGTTAAAGCTTAGATTGCTTTAGCATCACCACCCACAGTAACTAGTTTTGTTTCATGGGAGTATTCTTTAGTGTTGGTGTACATTTTAAACCATAAACAGGTAGCCCTCAACAGTTGCCACCTCCACCTCAGCTGTCTTATGGATTTTGATATATAACATTATATTCATATTATTTACCTTGAAATGTTGTAAATATAAAGTGATTTAATTAATGAGAAATTTAAAAAGTTACTTGTTACTCCACACAATCATACCAGATGTTAAATAAATGTCTTTTCTTTTTGTTACTGCAAGAGCCTAAGTTTGGGGAGCCAAGAAACGAGCTTAGATTTTGCATGTTTTCTAACCAACCCTTAAATACTAAAGCGAATCACTGGTTTCTTGTTTTAATATCTCTACAAAAAAAACAATAGCAAACAAAATGGGATAAACATTTTTCACAGATTTTTTTTCTTTCTTTTAACGTGGTTTTTTTACACTAATAAATAGCTTTTTATGGTAACTCTGGTCACAACAAGGAGGCATAATACATTCAGAAGAAAAAATCAAATAACCCTGTAGTGTCCTAAGCATGTGCTCATTTTGTTTTAAGCTTTTATTTCTGCAGTCCTGATTATAACCCATAACTGAAAATGGGTTCTAAGCCATCATTCTTTGCTGGTAGAAGATTCATTGCCAATTCATCACAACAAGCCAGCCTTTTATAATTAAAGAATTGAAAAATTGTTTTAGATTGTTTTATTGAGGAGGATGTACAGTTGACAGAATGTAGTCATTGTTAACATATTTCATGGTAAAATTTACCTTATTGCCTGGTTTATACTCCTCCTCAGTCTTTTGAACAGGAATAAAGGGTTATCTCTTGTTTCCTATTTAGGATTGGATTTCCAGTTCCTTTTTAAATTCTTTTCAGTTTCTTTCACTCCCAGTAACACCTTGGGTCTTAACAAACAGTTAACTCTTTTTGCACCAACACCCACCAGATCCCTGAAAGTTATTCCCAGTAGCACTAAAGTGAACTTGGTTATCTTTTTTTGAGTATACTAATAAGGAACTATTATTGTTATAGTGATTAAAAAAAAATTCCAAAATAAAAGGCAAACATTTTATAGAACTTTTTCCTTTTCAAAGATCTGTTAATGTCAAATTGTTTTTTTTTTTTTTTTTTTTTTTTTTTTATTATACTTCCATTTCAATTGAGGCTTTTTTTTTCTCTCTTGAAAAATTCGAGTCTCAAATATACCCTAATTCTGAACACCATTTCTGCTTTATTACTTTAGATGTGTACACTCTGGTCACTTTCATGAGTCGGTAACACAAAGATGGCGCACTTTGAGAATTTTATCTTAATTTCTTTTTTGCAGCTAATCTAATATAAAAGAATTTGTTCGTGTGGTTTTGCTTGAATTGTCTTTGTCTCCTTCCAGGTAATCAAGTACACTCATGAGAAAGGAGATGAAGTTATACCTGGTCTCTATGCCTCAGGAGAGTCTGCTTGTGCTTCTGTCCACGGGGCTAATCGTCTGGGTGCAAATTCTCTCTTGGATTTGGTTGTCTTTGGAAGAGCGTGTGCTAATACAATTGCTCAGGAAAACAGACCAGGTGATCCAATTGGTGAAATATCACAGGTAAGCTTTTCTCCTTTCATACTAGGAAATCTCTTTTACTTCATAGTCTTCTGCTATTTTTACTACACAGATTGGACAAAATGAGCATAACTTGCAAACATAAAGACATCAAATTATGTTGCATTGCTAATCACATTGGAGTTGAAAGTAACAATGAAGCAGACCTAGAAGCCAAGTCTGCTTAGATATGGATAAAGTCACAAGAACCAAAATCCCATACATTGACTTTAAGGGGGTCATTAACAAATACATTTAAAAGGAATGGCAATGGTGCTGAGACGAGAATCCATGCAATAAGCTCTTTGCTATTCAGTCCAAACTAGGAGGATGGAAGTAGGTTTTCAGAAAATCTCAAAAGGAAGAAATAGTTCTGGCCTGTTTATGTATTGGCCATATGAAAATAACCTAAACAAGGAAGATCAACCAGTATGCCAAGCATGTGAAATAACATATAATATTAAATATATGTTAACTGAATGTTCAGATCTTGCTCTCACAAGACAAAAATACTATAAAATAAACCTGTATGAGATCTTTGAGAAAGCAAAAATGGACAACATATTATTCAAAACAGTCTATACCAAAAATATAAACTAAATGAGAATGTCAATAAAACCAATTTCTCTACAAAATGTATATTTGAAAAAATGCATCATTGAAACTAGACTCTCAACAAAAACCCTCTTTACAAAAATACATCAATGAAACCTGATCTACAAACTGATTTCTTACAAAGAAATCATATTTTATTCATACAAATCTATCCTAAAAATCTTTGCAATAAATAGCTCATTGAGGTTGATATGTTGTAAAACAAAATAAATGAAACCAAAACTGGTAGATGACAAAACAATGTATCTATTAAATACTCTTTGTTCACTATTGAAGCATTTTCTTTTACTTATAGAAGATAATGTTAATTTAAGTTCTTTCTCATGCTTTTTATTTCCCTGATTTAAACATTGGAAATGTGGTAAGTATTTTCTGTGCTCTTCTCTGCATGTTTCTATTGGATACCATAAGGACCATTTTATTTTTGTCTTTAGTCAGATTTATATAGGCCTTGACTCAAAATTCTGCTTCACTTAAACTGTATAAAATAAAGTCAGTATTTTTTTTTTCCCATTGTAAATATCTCTGTGGCCAATGGTGCCTCAGCCATTGGGTATTTGGTGGTATTGAGTAGGGTTCAGGAAAGTTGAGGTGCTTGATTGACGAGCAGAGACTTAGAGTCTCTGCTCGTCAATCAAGAGGCAGTGGTTTGGTATATTCAGCCTGGAATCCATGTTGCTTCAGAAGGCTAGGCTGCTTCTGTTAGAATCAAGGAATTCAACCACTTGATATACTCTTAGGATGTTATTTATCAATAGCATTATGTGGGTCCTGATGATAACACTATCCATGCTCAAAATAGGGAAAATCTTTGGATGCACGTCAAGTGTAAATTGTCTGGAACTTCTAAGGTATTGTTTCCATTGCTTTTCCATGAATTCATGGGGTGTCGGTGGTACAAGAACAGCCCTGTGTTTTCAGTATTTATTTTCTGTGTAGTCCACCATCAACCATTATAATAATGTTTATTTGTAATAAATAGTGCATACTTTGGTCATTGTTTTTTATGCCATTCAGGAAATAGCAATTTATGATATGCCACTGAAGTATTAGCAAACCTTTTTATTTTTCCTCATTCATGGCTTTGTCACGTTTTCCTATTCCCAGTATTGTATTTAATTAGGCATTTTTTAATAATTTTCTTAAATTGCTACAATACTCTTCTGACAATTTACAAAGATTGATCATTTGAAATAAGTGAGGGAAGGATTTTAATTGCAATGTATTCTTCTATTTGCTGTGTCCCTTCATATCTTCCTGTCTCTTGTAGCTCTTAATAATTTTGGTCTTTTTGTTATTTCTCCAAAACCCCTGTTCTGCCATCCATTCACTCAAGTTCATCAAGTATGATACGTGCTGTTTTCCTCTGTCCCTCTTTCCCTTTATCCATCCTGTGAGTATCAGGTTTTCTAAGCCATCCTTCCTCAATGTGTGCCCTAGAAACTTCAGCTGTTTCTTCCTGATGTTAAGTATGTTTCCTTTTTGTTTCCATTTTCTCTAAAACTTTGTCATTGCTCGTATGTTTGGTTCATAGTATTTTTGGCATCTTTCTGTAGAACCACATTTCTGTTGCTTAAATGTCTCTTTTAATTCTTTGAGGAGATTGTCCATCATTCACTGCTATATAGGGGAACTAATATCACATAAAAGTTCAGTACTCTTTTCTTTGTTTCTAACAAAGTTTTTTTTTTTTGTCTCTTAATACTCTGCTTAACTTTTGGAATACATCTTTGGCCATCCCATTGTGTTTTTGGATTTCAATATTGCACTTTCCAACCTCTGTTAGAACACTACCCAGATTAATTAATTTTTTGTACTTGCTTCATTTTTGCATCCCTGATTTGTAATTTGTATTTTGGGCTCATCCTTTTGCTGACAACCATGAATTCTGTCTTTTTGTAGTTTATATTTAGTCCTTTCTTCTTTCTTTCTTTTGCTACCTTCTGTAGGAGTTTTTGTAGTTTCCTTTCCATGTCTGTTATCAACACTGTGTCATTTGTATATATTATGCTGTTAAGATTGTGGCTGCCTATAATGAATCCTGGTATGACTTCTAATTCTCTCAGAATTGCCTTGCTGTATAGGTTGAATAAATCTGGTGATGATACACATCCTTGTCTTACACCCTTTTTCTATTTTTCTATATATGCTGAATTCATTTTCAATCTGTATGCAGGCAGTTTGCTGCCAATATACATTCTGGATTATTCTAATATCTTTCCCAAATAAATTGAGGTTGCTGAGCAGCTCTAACAGATCTTTGTGGTGTACATTATCAAATGCCTTTGTGTAATCTATAAAACACAGGTATACGTCCTTCTATGTTTGTTTTGCTCTTTCTAATAACATTCTGAGCATGAATATTGTGTTCTTTGATGAGCCTGCACTATTCTTGTACTATCCCTGGTCTGATTCTGCTGTGTGCTCCATTCATCAGAATTTGGATCATGTTTTGTTATATGGCTCATTAAATCACATTGAATGGTGTGTTTTATAATCGTCTTTATTTTGAGCCTTATAAACATTCTTTGTTTTGGTTCTCTGCTATTCACATATTATACATGAAGACCCATGATTTATTTCATACTTTTGATGATGACTAATTCTTTGAGTCTTAGTCTTGTTTAAGTGTGTATAGGAGGTAACCCAGAAGTTGAAAAATGACAAGGGCCCATATTTAATCTGTGAATCAGTTTGCTTCATAAAGTTTCTTGTTGATTTGACGTTTATATTTTATTTTCAGAATGCAGGTGAAGAATCTGTTGCTAATCTTGATCGGCTGCGATATGCCAATGGAAGTGTCTCTACAGCAGAATTACGACTGAAAATGCAAAAGGTAACTTTGTTTATTCAATATGAAAGAGGTCGACATATTTCACTAGGCTGACTAGTTAATGATTGTGGTGACAAAGAAGAAAACCAAATCTGACCTTGAAAAAGATTTACAGCAGGAGGACTGTTCTTTGTGGGTGAAGAAGGAAGTTGTGCTTGTACATACATGTTTTTGACTTTGGATTTGTGAGACTGATTTATGACCTTTGGAATTATAACACTGGATTTTTGATTTTAGTTCTGAACCTTCCTATTGATTGCTATTTTCAATCATGTTAGAGATTACCATTCAATAGAAAATTTTTTTTTTTTTCATTTCTTCTAATTGATTGTAGCATCACTGCGTTATATAGAGATTTTTTTTTTTCTTCTTTTTTGTGAAAGGCATTTTAAATAGATTTTAGTTTAATTTTTATTCTCTACTTTGATGTTAAATCTTTTTTTTTGTTTACAAAAGAAAATTCAAAATGAATTTTGAAAGTAAAACTCTCTACCTTTTTAAAATTAGTCAGAAATAATTGTAAATGATTTTTTGTTATAAGTTAATTTTATGGATAATTTATTTTCCTTTTTTTTTTTTTTTTTTTTTCCTAATGTTTTAAGATGGAAAGTTTCTCATCAGCTTTTTAGAATGTCTGAAGATTTCTTCTCAAATTAACATTTTTTATAAATTTCCATACTACTTTTAATCTTTTTAAATGTATTTTTTTTTTTAAATAGCAGTTATCACTTTCTGGACATTTTACATTCTTAATAATAAAAGATCCTTTTTGTCTTATCAATATATTTTTTTTTTTTTTTTTTTTACTTTCTACCTTTTTATAGTTTTATTTTTATTTTTTTTTTCTTCTTAGGCCATGCAAAACCATGCAGCTGTATTCCGAGAAGGGCATACTTTAAAGAAAGGCTGTGAACTGATGTCTGAAATTTATTCCCAGTTAGAAGATCTGAAGGTAAAAATCTTATTAAAATGAAATGTCAGTTCTGGTGTGCTAGGTTTTTGAGTTTAAATTGAACTAAAAAAATTTTATTATACCATTAAAAAACAACCCTCAACTAAATCTCAAACCCTCCGTGCCTCTTAGATGTTCTACTGAATAACCCTGTTACCCTGGCCCTTGACTCTTGGATGTTCTTCTGAATGTGGCAATGGCAATTTGTAATCTCAGTTTATCAATCTCATAAAATGTTTGCCAACATAGTCTTTTCCTTGTGAATTTGTGATTGCTTGGAAAGAAGAGTCAAGACTGAATAAAGAAACATTCAAAATTGTTAAGGAGGAAAAAAAAGTTTTATTTTTATTCCATTTTAAACTCCCTGCCTTCATTTAATTCCCCTGAAAAGAACAAAGCATTTATTTTGACTCAAAACGTTTATTTTGATCCTATCCAAAGGAAAATGAATTCTATTAAAACTTTTATTACTCATGAGGTTTGTGGGTTACCACTCTTGGCTTTACCCAACACCCATTAGATGGTACTGTTTAAATCTATAAAAAGACAAACATTTTCTTACTCTTTCTTCCTTTTGAGAGGTAGTAGATTGTGGATGGGAACGTCCCCCCCACTCGGGCGCGTTCAGTTCCTTGGCAACTGACAACTGAACTTTCACACATACACTTGTGTATCATACACACAAACAAGCACATTCTCTTTGTCTTTTCATTTCCTTTACAATTGTGTATGCATTAATGTAATTTCTTTTTGTTAATGCATGCATTGTTTGTTTTAAATTTTTGCTTTTCACATTTATCTGAACTCACACAAGTTCGGCAAAAATTGTTTGTGAGAAAAATGTATCGGGAGCCCTTAAATATTTACTGTAAAATGTCCACACGTCACAACAAAAGTGGTGACTCCTGCAACGGGTTTATTTATCTCCGAATTAAAGCTTCTGTTGAATTATTAACAGCTATAAATCAATAACAAAATGAAATAAACCTTAATCTCTGGTTGTATGTTCTCAGCTGTGCATGAAAATAAAGTTAAAGTCTGATTTTAGTGATCATAAAATAGGTGCATTTGGCAAATGGAATTGATCAAAATCCAAATAATACTTGACCTTCCTGAATCATCATAGCTCAAAGAATCATGTTTTACCTTTAGTGGTTGCAATTTACTTAATGATTCCTGATTTCTTTTTTGGTTTATAGGTTTCTGACCGTGGCTTAGTTTGGAACACAGATTTAATTGAATCTCTTGAATTACAAAATTTGATGATCAATGCAATGCAAACTATTTATTCGGCTGAAAATCGAAAAGAATCAAGAGGTGCCCATGCACGTGAAGATTACCAGGTGAGTGTTTTATGTACTGTTCAAGATTGTAGCATGAATATCAGAAGAGTATTATACAGGGTGTGGCAGAAATTTAATGGTAAGACGTTAGCAAAAGGAAAACGCCATTGGCACTAATATCTTACTATTATATGGGAGGTATTTCTACCATACCCTGTATAAACAAAATCTTTTTGTTGCTGCTTAGAAAGACAATAATCAACTTTTTTTTATACAGATTTTTTTTCTGTCAAATGCAGAACATTTTTACTTGAATGATTTTTCTCATTAGAACAGACAATAACAATTAGTGTCACTTTGAAAGTCTTTTTTTTTTTTTTTTTAGTTTCAAGTTCATAGATGCAAAATTTGTGAGTGAAAGCTGAGAATTCAGTTTCAATATCATGATAGTAATTTCAACAGGGTAATTTTGCTTTTTTTAACAATGGGTATTGTGATGATGCATTTCTGCACATCACTGCACAAACTGTGATGACATCCAAGGCTGGCTGTATGTGAATACACCGGTGCTCACTATGTTTCACAGTTTTGTCTTAATATTAGGGTTATGATTAACGTCAACAAAGAATAATGGCAAATGCTTTTCAAGACACTTGTTTGATTGGGAAGTAGCAAAAAAAGAAAAAAAAAAAAGAAAGATTTCTCACTTAATCAGCAATGTCTTCGTTCTAGTTTGAGAAGGCAAACTTCTTTTTTATCTTATTTCTCACTAAGTTCTGACCATGGAAAGCAGACCCATTATACACTCACTTGCCTGGCCGCTTCACTCACTGCTCACCCTTTCACTGACTGCTCCTTCACTCACTGTCCAATTCATTATATGGATACTGGTTGGGGGACCCACTGCCCCTTTCTGTCCACTTGTGTTCCACCAACTGGAAAGGGAAACACCCAGACAGCTTTTGGGTGGTCAGTTTTTTTTTGTTTTTTTTGTTTTTTTTTTCAAAGACCCTGTTTTTATGGCTATCTAAAATCACTAACAAATTTTATGTTTGTCAGTTCAAAGGTGGTCTGGAGACAAGATTCCTGAAAAATCCTCATCACTAAATTAACTTAAAAAGAATCTAACTATTGATCTCCTAAGGATGTTTGAGAAATTGTATTACTATGCTGTTCAATTGAAATAATATGTCACTATCCCCAACTTCATAAATTATCATTGATATGATTTTTTTTTTTTTTTTTTTTAAAGACAAAAATATGATTGCTAGGCAGGCAGTTTTGATGTTTAGAAAGAAAAATTATTATTGAAGTTATTTTAATTTTATTTTATTACCAAAATCTGAAAAGTAATTTATAGAATTATTTATTAGTTCTAATTGAAGTAAGAAACAAATATATATATATATATATATATATATATATATACATAATAATTTTTAAGCTGTCACCGTTTTCTTTTGATCTATTGGTTGCATTCATAATGCTAAGCCTCTTGAACTGTAGACAATAAAATGTAATTTTCTTTTTTGTGTGTGTTTTTTCATAGAAACGTATTGATGAATATGACTACAGCAAACCATTGGAAGGCCAAGTGAAGAAGCCAATAGAAGAACATTGGAGAAAACACACAATTAGTGATATTGATATCAAGACAGGAAAAGTAAGGGATTTGCCATCTTTCTTTCTTTCTTTCTTTTCTTTCTTTCTTTTTTTTTAATTTATTGTATTCAATTAAAGAATTGTAAATAAATTTAATCATTATTTTGTGCCAAGACTTGCTTTAAATGAGTCAACTTAATTTTATGTCAACTCAAGTTGTTAATTACATCAATGAACCACTGTATCATTTACCTTTTGTCTTGTTGTTTTCATTTATTTTTATTTCTGTCTCTCTTCCTCTCTCTCTCTCTCCAGGTCAGTTTGAAGTACAGACCTGTCATAGATGACACACTAGACATGGAGGATTGTCCGTATGTTGTACCTGCTGTCCGATCATATTAACCTCAGGTATTTTGTTAGTATTTTCTTTTTTTTTTTTTTTTTTTTTTACTAAAAATAATTAGCAGTTTTCCCATGATTAGCTAGTCTGGAATTAATAGAATTGTAAATGTTTTAAAAATTGAATTTGTATAAAAAATAATGTGCTTGCTTGAAAATGAGCTCATCTTTCCTCTTTGTACTGCATCAAATAATCTCTTTGTTTTTATTTAATTCACTTTGAATTTCACTGTCATTTTAACTGCAGTCTTTTTGCAATTGTAATACGTCAAACTAACTTATGAGTGGAAATATGTTTGTACCAAAAAAATAAAACGAACTTGATGTTCACTTTATTTACATGCCAAAATATCATTTTCTTTTAATGTAGATTTATGTATAATATATATATATAAAATATATTTCTTTCTTTTTTTTTCAGCTAGTTCAATGCCTCTTCCTTTGCCTGTGTGCTACTTCCTAAATGAAGTCCATTATTCTGAAGAATAAACATGAAAAATGTTATTTCTCTTTTCTACTTTTTTCATAAAAATATTAAAGTAGACTTTGGATTTTCTTGTAAAGAACAATGTGTAGCCGAGTCTGCGTATTGTCAGCTTGGATTTAACTATAGTATAGTACATTGTCATAAATATCTAGAAACCTTGGATTATGAGTGTCAGCCAAGTCCATTATTCAAGTTTCTATAGTTTTCTGCACCACACAGTTTTCTTTGCTTAGTAATGAAGGTGTTACATAATTCTCCTGTGTATCACCAAGATAATTCAAAATGTTAGATGATCACTGGGATATTGTTAAATTGCTAGCATTATAAATAAAGGATGGGTAAGAAATAATACAGGAAATATTGAATTGTTAAAGTCAGTTTTGGATCTGTGGAAAATCTTCTAATTTTAGATGACCAAGTGAAAAAAAAAAACCCAGAAAAAAATAACTTTAGTTAACTACTCTTCTGATTTTTTGTTATTTTAGAACAACAACATTAAATGAGAAGATGATTCTGATCTTTATCGGATAAACATTCAAATTCTTCACTGATTTGTTAATGTTTGTTTCATAGAAAAATAAAATGATATTTTATGTGGGTTGCATTTTTATCACTTTGGGATCTAATATTTTTAGAAGAACTGCCATTTAAATTTATATATTTCTATATTCTCTTTCAACACTTGTTTGCTTATGCATCTATCCTATGAAGTCATTATCAGGTACTCGTCTTTATTTATGACCGAGTTCTTTTTATTTTTCTGCTAGTGATGACTTGGGATTGCTTTTCCCTTCAATGTGCAAACAAGAATTTAGAGAAAATCTGTTTTTTTTTTTTTCTGTACATGGATTTGAAAGTTTTTAATTTATCTTAATTACTTTGGGTGCACACAATGTGAAAGGAATTGAGTGGCAATGCAGATTTTTTTTTTTTTTTTTTTTTTTTTCTCCAGATGAAACTCTTAGCAGAGCTGATATTGATTGATTGTACATCATCTTGACCAACAAATGATTTCAGTTCTTAAAATTGGAATAAATTAACAAAAGTTATTAAAACAGGACAAAAGAAAATTTTTTTTCTCTTTTATTATTTGTTGCTTTTCTGTCACCCAAATTGTTTACAAATTTTTTGATCTTGTTTTGGTAATTTTTTGGAGGGGAACTGGTCATTTTAAAAGCATTTGAATGATGTGACCATATTATGTTAGCATCTGTATATGTTGGCCAAAAGGCCTATGGTCATTGTAGATGCAATTGTCACTTTTTGGCAAAAGTGAGTTGGTGAGGCTGAATGCTTTGCAAATATTTTCCATGACCATTCAATCCACCAATCTTCCAATAATTCATTGTCATGCAGTGGAACGACAATGCCTGCATCTCCTTCTATTCCATGACAAAAAAACCAAGAGACTTTAACCTTTTTTTGTCTTAACACATTTAGAAACTAATATACTCTCTCTCTCTCTCTCTCACACATTTATTTGTGAGATGTGACATTGTCATTTCTAAGTTTTGTCTGAATATGTCATATTTGTTGTTTTTTTTTTTTTTTTTTTTTTATGTATGGAGAGAGTTGTACCACTTCAATTAGAAAATGATATCTGAAAATTCATGCCTGGCTTCTTATTTCACCACAACAGAGGCTGTGGGTTGAAGAATAAATCCACACCCTCTTTGTTGTGAAATATAGTTTGGCAACAGCTACAACTTAATTTGGTCACAAAATAGATTGTAATTGCCAAAAAAAAAAAAAAAAAAGGAAGCAAGTGTTCTATGATTGGATTGTTGGGACAGCAAAGATGAGGATTTTAGGCAAGATAAACTTTAAAAAAAGGGAACAGCTTCACACGGCAAAGAATCTCACATATTTCAAGAAAGTTTAATTGTTGCCTCACCCAATATTTGGACTTAAAATATCTTGGGTATTTTATTTTTTTTTTTTTTATGTGTTGTTTCTGTCAAAGTATCTTTATCTCCATTTGTTAAATTTAGAATCTGTTGTAATAAATAATGTCAGACTCACTTCCTAACATCTTAATGATTCTTTTATTGTTAATGATTTTGGTTATAGGGAAAGGAGAAGTTTGAAACTAAAAGATGCTTCTGCTGATGAGCTGGAAAAATGTTTCTTGAATAAATAGATTTGCTAAAATTTATTTGGGTGCATGTTCTAGTTTTCAAAACTGATGGGTTTTTGTTTAATACTTAGCTTTCTTTGATCTCCGCTTAAACATTCTCTTATTGTAAAACATAAGTAACAAACTTTCAAGAGATTACCTGTGACAACAATAATGGATTTTTACTTCTTAAAAAAAAAAAAAAAAAAAAAGAAATTAAAAGCCACAGTAAATCTTTAAAAAAGAAGAAAAATATGTAAATTTGAAAATTTCGTGATTGCCCCAAAACTAGTCACAAGTCAAAAATTTAATAACAATTAAAATATATTTTTTTTTTTTTTTTTTTTTTTTTTATAATTGACTCTGGCAGCTTTGACAATATTGTGCTTGAAATTTCTTTGTGTATTTTGTTACCAGAGAGCAATGGCTAACATACTCTTCTATTAACATGAAACTGAATTAAAACCACAAAGTAAACACCCACATACAATTCGATGGTTTATAATTAATATAATACTCTCAACTTTTGCAAGTCTTTTGTGTGAAGTTAAGGTATCTGGTAGGCTAATGTTTACTTGAATACTATCCATCACCATTACTTGTCATGAGTGAACTTTCTTAAGAATATAAATATAAAAGGAGGTTTGTGTGCATATATGTATGTAAAAACAGAAATTATGAAAGATTATCAATAAAATTGCAATCAAAATTAGTTAAGTTGCATGGAGTAAATAACTAAGCACAATTGAGATAGAAAAAAAAAAAATCAACAAAACCAATGACAATAACATCCAGCAAAATAAAATCATCAAATGTAACTGCAGAAACAAAGAAAATTGCCCACTTAACAGTAAATGTTTAATCATTAACATAATATACAAAGCTATCATAACTAATCACATTAACACAGCAGAAAAAATTTGCATAAGTGCCACCTTAAAAGATATAACCACAAAATATCCATTAAAAGAAAAATACACAAACAATATCCCCACCAAAATCAAAAAGGAAATTATAAAATGAGCAGCCCCCATAGAGTAATAACAGTAAAAACTGTAAATTATACTTAGAGGAAAAATTAGTAATAATTAGTTTTAAAAGCCAAAATTAACTCTTAAACAAACTGAAATAATGGGTAAATGTAAACATATAAATAAATACTTTGCTATATAAGCTCTAATTAAAAATAAATGAAATAAACTTTAAAAAATTAATTATTAATAAACACAAATATTAAATATACGTCTATAGGTGTGCGAGTGCGTGCATAAAAACATATACACACCCACACACGAATAAACCTATACCCCCATAATTAAAGCCTCAATATATAACATCAAGGCAAAAACAACTAACCAGTAATAAAGAGAAACATTAGATAAACTATAACATGATATAAGCAAATATTTAATTTCCTACATATAAACTATTTAAAAATTACATATGTGCAGTTGTGTGCATGGGAGTATATACTCTATATAAATATTCAAACAAGAAAGAAAACTCTAAACCCAACCAACTATAATACCTTAAAAATAGAAATTTTTTTTTTTTTTTACCATTTAAGCACTAGTTAATTAATAAGAAAGCACAGACACACGTGTACGTGTACCTTTGTCTGCGCGTTTGTGTGTGTGTGTATATATATATATATATATATATATCTGCACGTGTGTGTATATCTATATATGTACATGCATGATTGTGAATATGCACAAACGTATAAAATAAAAACAGCCATATTCACAAATTGAAACAATAAAAATTATAAATAAATTATAAACCTAACCTACAATTAATACTTTAATAGTAATGAACATAAAACCAAACAAAATAATATCCAAAAGAAGACATATATAAATATTTACTTTATCATTTAAGCATTAATATCATTTATGTAATTATAAACGAAATGCAATTTATCTAACTTAAGAAAAAACCTAGAACTCACAAAAATTAGAAACTATAATGTCAAGAGAAAAACCCGGAAATAAATAGCAACAAATATCTACAATTGAAAGAGGAAAAGGGAGAAAAAGTTAAGGATTGAGTGTAAAGTGGAGAAAAAAAAAAATGAAAAGGACAAATGATTACGACACCCGACACATACGCACAGATAGGCGCATAGCCGCACACATACACAAACAACAATAAGTTTGTAAAAAGAAAAATCAAGAAATATAAGCAGTCAATTGATGATACCTCTTGAAGAGTGGACAGACGTAGCTGTTTATGAAGCACTGGAGTTGGGATGCTGAATGTAACATTAATCAGCTAAGTGACAAACTTTTGCTATATATATATATATATATATATATATATAATTATTTAAAAAAAAAATGATTCCTTTGAGAATCATATTTATAAAAAAATAATCATAATTTAAGCTCTACTTCTGTATGGAGCACTTTTTTCTTTTTTTTTTTTAAATAAAAACAAAAATATCAGGGAAGCGAGGAAGGAAATTCCACTGTCAGGAAGTGCGAGAGAAGAAGCTGTTGGAGTAGAAGAGGTGGTTACATTTAACTGTTTCGACAGTGAAAGGATGGGACCAAATTCCAACCTAGTAGCACGCTTAAATTCATGCACTTTGGGAACCAGTGAAAGTAGTTCATCAGAGCAGTTGCCATGAAAATATTTGTAGAAAAGACAGAGGGAAGCCAAATATTACCGCTTATTTAAAAACTTTGATGGGATCTTTTGCACCTTCAGGTGACTACAATATATTATTCATGGTTGCGATGATTGCCGTAGCAGTGTCATAACACGTAATAAACACTGACTTTGGTTTAAATGGCGATACCTTAGTCAAACCATATCTGCTTTTCAAATTTTCCAAAATCCACACAAGCCTTTTGAATACAAGAATGTAGAGTATTGCACAGA